GAGGCCCCTCAGCAGAGTCCTCTGCCTCCTCTGACGCGTTAGCAGACTCCCCTCCTCCTCCGATGTGTCAGCAACGGCGGACGAGAGCCGCCGCCACTCCGGCGGCTAGCAGTACAACAGGCGAGACGAAATTCAAAGCTGGTCCAAGCCTCAAGGCTCCTCCAAAGTTACCATATGAGAGGACTGAGGAGGAAACCAAGGACATCGTGGATGCCGAAGTGAAGGCCCATTTTGAACGGAAACCTCCACTTCCGAAGGAAACAATAGATCCGGTGAAAGCGAAGAACACTCTGGATGCCCTTAAGCGACCACCACCACTTCCACCGCAATCACACTATGATCGCTGTGTTAGAAAGACATATGATGAAGCGCGGCGGTCGGGAAGTACTACCAGTGATGCAAGAGTAAGTGGGAAAAAAATTCCCCAGCTCGGCAAACAGGAGAAGCAATCATGCTCCCCGCTCAAGGTGTCTAGCGATATCGCTAATCATCCGGTGCTACTGCCTGGTACCACTCTTGGTGATTACGTGGGTGATGCTGTACTGTTTGAAATGGCTGAGGTAGTAGAGGAATTTAGATACGAGCATGGGAAGCCTCTTGTCAAACCTGATCAGCTCCCACATCTACCAACGATGATGCGAAGATTGCATGACTGGTACTTGGAAACCTGCAGGAAGTCTGGGACCGACAATATGATGCTAGGAATTAAAGATGAGAAAGAATTCATTGGATTTGACCTGATGCCTATTGAATTTGTGGAATTATTTCAGTTATCCAATCAACAAGCCCTCGACAAAAAACTCATGACTTGCTACTGTCTGTAAGTATTATTTCTGTAATTAAGTCTCTAGCTCAGCTCGTTCATTGCATGTATATATAATTATCCTCACTATATATATTATGCAGATTGAATATTATCGAATGCAAAAGAGGACAAATCTATGACATTGGGTTCGTTAGCCCAAATACCGTAAATGAATGGGCAGTACAAAAGAGAGCCAAACATACCGAGGAAAACTTGCTAAAAGCGTTCCTTCGACATCAAAACAAAAGGGAAATACTCTTTCCTTACAACTTCTAGTGAGTGTTACTATCTTGTGCATATTCGGTTTCACTTACTCGAGGTTAAGTGTAATTGATGAGTTATGCGTGCGCAGGTTCCACTTTATTCTGCTATCCATAAAGCGTGACGAGGTAGTAGTAACTGTCTTAGACTCGAGATGTAAAGAGCAAAAGGAGTGGGCAGACATGAGTGAAATGCTCCAGAGGTAAGTTCAATCATTATCGCACCATATCGACAACTTTCGTTCATTTCCTAATATCAAGTAATCATTTTCTTTGCCGGGCAGGGTTTGGAAATCATTCACCAGAATGGTCCTGTGTTTGAAGAAGGAGCTGCGATTTACACAACCGAAAGTAAGTACTACTAGCTAGTTCCGTGCATCTCTCATTGATTGTAGTTTCATCAGTACCATTATCATGCTTGGTTATCAGTTTGATTGAACTCTATTCTCGTAAAGTGCTTGTGGCAGGCACCCGGGACTAATTTATGTGGATACTACATTTGCGAGTTCATTCGCAACTCGACCCTTGATCAGGGCATAACTTCAAAACAATTTAAAGTACGTAAACAATATTCAAATTTTTTATTACCATTAATTAGATCTGGCACCTTTCTTTAAATTAGATCTGGCAGATGCGGAATGAAATCCTACCACGTGATCGCATATGGGCAATTCAAGAGGAATTGGCGGGATTCTTTCTTGACCACGCCATACCTAAAGACGGAGAATACCATATGGAATTGCAAACTGATCTTAGGTAGATGATGTTAGTGATTGTAATAGATGTTATATTATATATATGTAGTAGCGTCGGATAGATATACGAAAACTCGTTACTCGGCTAAGAACGGAGAAAGAGAGGTCACTTCTCTCTATATATGTTCATGAATATGTTGTGTAATTAATGGTTCCTTCATTTGCTTACTAGCTAGCGTTAGGTTCTCTCTATATATAGTAGCTACCGTCGACCAAGCACGGAGAAAGAGAGCTCACTTCTCTCTATATGTAGTAGCTAGCAAACACAATATAAAACCCCTAAACCCTCCAAAACCCCTAAAGCCCCCCCCCCCCTTTAAAAAAACAAAAACCCCAACGCCTGGGAGTTGCTGACGCGTGGCTGCCTTTTAGAACCGGTTGGTGCTACCAACCGGGACTAAAGGTCCTCCTTCCTGGGTGCCCTATAGCGGCCATGTGGAGTTGCTTTAGTCCCGGTTCGTAAGCTAACTGAGACTAAAAGTAATGGGCATTAGTCCCGATCGTTTTGTCCCGTTTGCAGAACCGGGACTAAAGGTCCTCTGAAACCGGGACTAGTGCCCTGTTTTCTACTAGTGGTTCAGTCCTTTGCTGAGTTCGCCTAGAGCGGGGCTTGGGAAAGCAAGGCAATTTGCCGGGTTTCGTATCGTCGCCGAGTTGCTTTTTCTCGACACTGGGCAAACTTCCACATTTTTCGAGTTTTGTGCCATTGCTGAGTTCCTTTCAGGCCATTCCCAGTGCTCCATGGTGTACATGTGCTAAGGGTGCCACATAGGCAGAAATATGATGTGACAAAGCAATTAAAGAGGAGAGAGAGCATTATACTGACCCCAATCTATACCTACTAATAAAGCAAGGTGCGTTTCTCCAATTTTTTCATCCGTTCACCACCTAAACATATCAAAAAAAATCTATCCAAGGTGGTACTAAATTTTTTAGGTGTCCGTGCGCTAAAAAGGGAAGAAAAACGCTTCGTCTAAAATTTCATTAATGGGCCGCAGCGCGTGCCCGCGAACTAAGCCCAAGAAAAAGACACGCATGCACAAAGCAAGCCCAGAGAAAATCAAAAATAAATGTCGCCACTCGATTCAAACTCACAACCTCGAGTGCGTGTACAATGTGAGCAGTCCAACTGAGCTAGCCAAGTGATATGTAGACAAGTGGTAGTTGATTCTATATATTTCCATTCCACTGAGCCCAGATTTTTTTGAGGGGGCGACTAGCTCTGTTGGGCCTCCATATGCCCACCGGCCCCTAATCAAATTATTATTTTTCGTTCGTCCATCAATTGATAAAAAATAATTTGATTGTTGGCCCTTTTTTTTCGTCTGTCTATCAAGTAATAAAAAAATGGTTGTTTTCATAGGCATTTTTCTGATAGAAATGTGCATTCATGGGCCACGTGTGGAGTAGGAAAAAAACGTTGTATCAGAATTGAACTCATGAACTCTCCTATTGTCCCAAATATGCAAGCTACCACCTGGGCTAACATATAGATATTAATTACTCCCACCTAACTGATTTAGAGTGATTTCTATGAATTTATATACTTCGTAATTTATATGAAATTTCAGCAAGAAGAGAACAGGCGAAACGTAATTGCGGCTTGCCTTCAAGACACTAAAAGAAGGATGCATTTCGACAATTAATAGGAATTATGTTGGCTGTCTTGGTGGCCGTATATTAAAGGAAGGATCAATAAGAAGGAAGTGTGGATTTCAAGGACATTAAATGGCCAGGATTGGACGTGTTGGTGGGGCTAATTGAGGGATCAACAATTTAAAGGAATTGTGTGGCTTGTTTAGGAATGAAGGATGTTCACATTTCAAGGATTGGACGAGCTTGAGTTTCTTAAAAGATTATGGCAAATACCCACAATACATTCCGCCAAGTAGGCATGCCATAACACTTAATTTCCTAGACCACAAGGTGTTGATTATTACTTTTTAGAAAATGGAATAACATCTGCATTGAAAATCTAGCATACACGCTAGCCACAATATCAAGGCATTTTTTTGTAGTCATAAAGATCATGTGAAGTTATTTCGTACTATCGCTGAGAATGGATTTATTTGTAGTCAAAAAGATTATGTGGGCTAGCCAATGAGTAATAGGATGAAACAAACCTCTATCTTTTTTCTTCCTCTCCTTTCACTGTTTGGAGGGAGTAGCTCACGGATGACGGCACTCACGTCTATCTCAATGAGATTAATTTTTGATGTTTTGTTAAACACTTCTTTCACTAGCGCAGTTGAATGATAGTGAGTCCTGCGATGGACGAACTCATTGTCTTAAGATTAACCATATGTTCAAGGTGTTCCTATTAGGCATACACCACGACCACTATTGATGGGATGGGAAGGACGATCAGCAATGCTATATGTGGGACACTATGTTCAAATGCACGACATGCTCCTACCGGAAGGGGTTATCGAACTATGCTTCTTGCGCTAGGTCCGTATGATATTATTTTTCTTCCGTTGCAATGCACGGGCATGTTTGCTAGTAAGAACCAATGCTAAGCAGGTGGACCTAGGCAAAAAGACTACCAGCCAATACACGAAGGAGTTTTATTATTAAACAATTAAATAAAGGAGGCTTAGTTACAAAATCTAAGCACCGATGCATTGAGGACATTAGTTGCTAAGCATTTTAATACACTTAGCACCCCACTTTAGCACCAATGCATTGGGAGAGATCTCAGTCGGTTCTCAGTAACCAGCTGCCATTTCAAGTTTCCGAAAAAAACACGAGGCAAACACAAGGAACTAGGCATCTTCCACGATTCCAGTATTGTGTTTGGAACTGATTGTGAAAACAAGCAGGATGCAAATATGACAATGTGTACATACGGCTTAGTGAAATGAGATTAATAATTATATTATTTCACTACAATGCCAAAAGCAACCTAACAAGTAGTGGACTTGAGAATACATGTTACAAAAACTAGCAACACACTGGGCTTACAAACTCAACGGCACAACTTAGGAAACAAAGTACTTAGCATCAATGCGTCAAGTCAAACACAAGCAACACACTGCTCACCGTATTAGAAGGGAGCAGGTCCATAAAAAAACTAATTAAAATAAAACTAAAAACACACACACATCACCAGGAAAACCCACAGGTAACTTTAGCTAGAGATAATATATAGTGAAGTAGCTAGAGATCATATCAAGCTAGCTAGTTTGTGGAGGTGGAGCAAGAGGAGGACTTGGAGCTGCTGCACTCGTCCCTGAGGCCGCCACCGGTGCTCTTTGTAGGGAAGAGCTCTAGGGTTCTGAGCGGCCGGCAGCATGGCCATGGCGGCGGGGTCATATTATTCATACCACCGCCGGCCGCTGCGGAGCTGCCTCCAGCTGCTGCTACACTGTTGTTAATGTTGCTGTTCTCCATCACCATCTGCTGCTGTGTCATCCATTCCTGCTGCTGGCTTGTCTTGCCTGCAAACTCCAACCCCGAAACTGGAAGAGCTCCTCCTGCTGCTGTTTCCTGCTGCAAGTAGCCCTACATATGTATATTCCATGAGTTAATTGTTATGGCTATATTGTTTTTGTTTCTTCAGAAAAGAGGTAGAGGAATAAATATAGGTATGCGCGCGTATAGAAATTACTCATAAGTTAGCAATAGAAAATTTAAAGACCTGAGGCGCCATGAAGCAGCTGGTTGCGTATGTGTGGTGGTGATGGTGCAGCTGCATCACCGCGGGGTGAATCGCGTTCACGCCCGCACCAGCACCAGCAGCATTGCCTCCGCCGCCGGCAGCACCAGTATGAGGAGGAGGAGGAGGAGGAGCCGCCGGCGAGGAGGGTTGCTGGTGGCGGGCGCAGAGGCGGCGACGGAGACGCTGGCGCTCGCGGGCCTTGTGGTTCTGGAACCAGTAGAAGACGTTCTTTCCCTCGATGCGGCCGTAGTAGGCGAGGTGCGCCGTGATCTGCTGGATCTCCGCCGCGTTAGGTGTGCGCACGCCGCTCCGGTACATCTCCTCCAGGATCATCAGCTGCTCAGGCGTCGGGCACCAACGGGTCGATGGCGTCTGCGGCATCTTCCTCCTTCTTAACTACTGCTCTTGGATCTCGATCTTTGTGTCTAGTTAACTGCGTGCTAGAGCTAGCTGCTGCAAGTGCTAGTGTGCGTACGTTGGTGCTAGGGATATGTTCCAAGCCTAAGGTTGAGTGAGTTATATAGACCGAGCTGGCCGGGCTAGCTAAGGTAGCAAGAGCTAGCCGAGTCAATTACTCCAGTGAGCAGGTGCTGAGAGGAGACGTGAGACAAATTGGTGCGGTGAACTGTCAGAGTCAAGGGTTGACACACTTATTTAGCCACTACTGGAATCGCCCTAGGGTTAGCTCCTCATTTTCCCACAGCTGGGACTTGCATAGTTGCATGCATTTGGGAATTAATGTCATTTCTCCATATATGGCTATATATAGATGAAGTACTAATATATATAAGTATCATGAGATAAATATATAATCTCACTTTTTTTGTGCACGAACAAAAAATGTTTCTCCACGTGTAGATAAATTTTTGAAATGCAAGTACATGTAAAGATTTCCAAAATGGGAAGAAAGATCATAAATAATATACTTATCATAAATTTAGGTCTTATAAAAGAAAATTTTGGTACTTTCAAATATGTATATCTGAAAATTCAAACACCCGAACTTAATTTGAAATAAGTAAAATGATTTTTAGTTTAAAAAGAATAATTTTGTTTGAAACATATGAAACTTTGTGTGGTCTCATTATATCACATGTAGAGTGTGTGGTTAAAATTTCAAAAATATTTGCAAAAGGGCATGATGTAGGTTGTTTAGAAATTGAAGACGGCCTCGAGGCACATGTGTCGCATATCAAATTAATGATAATGCAGTTGTTACTTGCATATATGACCTAAACATATACTAAACTATTTAAATGTCATGTTTTCATAAATTTTGAGGCATTTTTAAATGTACATGTAGTTCAAATTTGATTTATAGCTATAAGTGCATTAAATGCCAACGTCCTCTCCTCACTAGGGTTGAGCCCAGCGCGACCGCGCCCCCGACGTGCCACTCTAGTGCTCCGCCCACTGCCAACCGAACGTGTATTAACTTGGTCGAAAATACACGAACATATTATCACGCAGCTTGTTAGGACTAGCACACAGACCAAATTAAGTACTTATTCTGTTGCCTGTTTAAGTACGACATGCTCAGCATATACTAAAGTTGAGAGCTAAATTTCAACATCTGAGACAACATCTATTGTAGCTATAGCTTCACAAGGACATAACATTGGGGGTAATATAAATAAAGGAAACAGAGTTCGGCTAGGTATGCAAGTGCCGGTAGCAATGCCTGCTTATTTTGTTTAGATATATGTGTTGGAGTCTTTTCGTTGCCCCTGCGATATTCCAGCCATCGAGCTTTGCATATGTGCATCTTTTGAAAAATTTCAGAGATTGAAAATGAGTGACAATATTTTGGCGAAACATTGATTAATTTCTGTTTCGTCAAATTTCTAGCACTCAATATGTTCAATTTTTAGCAAAGGTCAAGCCAATTTTTTCGTTAACTTTTGCTTTTCATGTTATTTTGTAACTCTTTATTGTAATTCTATCGTTTTTAATGTTTTTCCAAACAATTTAGCAAAGGAAACAAATGGATAACACGGTCGGACCATCGTCCCATATGACCCAAGATGAAGCTAGCCGGCGCCATCAATATGACAACACTGATGATGGCATCGAGTGTGAGGAAACCAACTTTGACAAGACCCACCATGAGGAAGAACCAACAAGTGGGGAGGAAATGACCACCGGTGAGGAGGAAGCTGAGAGGGAAAATCAACCCAAAAAGTGGAAAAGTTTTACATGAAGCTTCTAATGAATTAACTTCAACCTCACAAAAAATGGGACCCTAAATATATCCCTAAAATAATAAAGGGATAATTGGTTTTATGTCCCTAGTTGGGTCACACTCGGCAAGTTTACCCGTAGTTTCCAAAAATGCTCATTCCCACTCAAACCATTTTGCTCGTCTTATGCTTTTGCCCTTTGACTATTTGACTATCACTTTGAAAACTTCATAAAAAATCATACTAACTCAGAAAAATGCAAATAAGAGATCAAAATGTTTAGAAAAACATCACTTATATATGCATGTCATTTGCATTCATGAAAAAACTGTTGAAAAGTCCCCATCTCAGTTTGAGCTCATATAATCTCAACATGAAAAGTAAAATCTGAAAAAATTGAAACAAAATTCAAAAAATCTATTTTTTGTGGCAAAGTGTCATCAGGGAATGACATTTGTTGAAGTCGTGGCAAAAAAATATAGCACTCCCAAATGCTTTTGTTTTGTAGCATCAATTTTGTTTTGTTTTTTATCATGACCTTCCACGAATGTCATTCCCTTATAAAACATGGCAAGCGCTCAAAACATTGGTAAACGTTTGCCACCAAAAAATAGATTTTTTTTCAATTTTTTTCGATTTTTTCAGATTATACTGTTCATGCTAAGATCATATCAGCTCAAACTAAGATGGGGACATTCCAACACTTTTGTCATGAATGCAAATGACATGCATATATAGGTGACTTTTACTGAACATTTTGATATCTTATTTGCATTTTTCTGAGTTAGTATGAATTTGTTATGAAGTTTTCAAAGTTACGGTCAAACGGCAAAAGGGCAAAAGTATAAGACGAGCAAAAGTGATTTGGGCAGGAACGAGTATTTTCGAAAACTAGGGGTAAACCTGCCGAGTGTGACCCAACCATGGACATAAAACTAGTTACCCCAATAATAAAACACTAAGGTTAATAAAAAGTCATTGCAAAAATAAAATAGTAGTGGTGGGCCTCCACAATCACTCGTTACTGGTCTACAGCGTACAAATTTCACTACTCGGTCTACAACATATGGATGACACATTGGATGGACGCTGGCGTGGACGAAGAATGAGCTTAGGTTGATGCATGCCCTCACCATCTCTTCATGACGACAATCTGACCTTTGCAGGCCTTGACCCCCTGGTGTACCTTACTGATACTGAGGACATACTTCAAGATATCCTCCAAGCAATAGATGTGGATCACCCCACAAATATACCGGCAGCGTAGGATCACCCCACCAATATGCCAACAACAAGGGATGATTAAGGTGTTGCCGAAGACACACAGCCGTTTAGAGCGTCCAGGGATTTGGGCTTTTCACCAGTCAAGGGCCCGAAGTAGCACTCTAATCCAGTTTAGGGTGCTACTTCGGGTCCTCCACTTAGAACGATTCTAGACCAGGCAAAAAAAATGCTACCATAGCAGCATTACTTGTTGGGAACGCAGTAATTTCAAAAAATATCCTACGCACACGCAAGATCATGGTGATGCATAGCAACGAGAGGGGAGAGTGTTGTCCACGTACCCTCGTAGACCATAAGCGGAAGCGTTATGACAACGCGGTTGATGTAGTCGTACATCTTCATGATCGACCGATCCTAGTACCGAAACTACGGCACCTCCGCGATCTACACACGTTCGGCTCGGTGACGTCCCATGAACTCACGATCCAGCAGTGTCGAGGAAGAGTTTCCTCAGCACGACGGCGTGATAACGGTGATGATGATGCTACCGGAACAGGACTTCGCCTAAGCACCGCTACGAGATGACCGAGGTGGATTATGATAGAGGAGGGCACCGCACACGGCTAAGAGATCAATGATCAACTTGTGTGTCTATGGGGTGCCCCCTCCCCGTATATAAAGGAGTGGAGGAGGGGGAGGACCAGCCCTCTACTATGGCGTGCCCTGGGGAGTCCTACTCCCACCGGGAGTAGGATTCCCCCTTTTCCATGTAGTAGGAGTAGGAGAGTAGGAAAGGGAAGAGAGAAGAGAAGGAAGGAGGGGGCGCCGCCCCTCCCCCTAGTCCAATTCGGACTAGGCCTTGGGGGGCACGCGGCCTGCCCTAGGCAGCCCCTCCCTCTCTTTCCTAAAGCCCATTAGGGCCCATATACTCCCCGGGGTGTTACGGTAACCCCCCTACTCCGGTTAATGTCCGAACTCACTCGGAACCATTCCGATGTCCAAACATAGTCATCCAATATATCGATCTTTATGTCTCGACCATTTCGAGACTCCTTGTCATGCCCGTGATCACATCCGGGACTCCGAACAACCTTCGGTTCATCAAAACATATAAACTCATAATAGCGATCGTCACCGAACGTTAAGCGTGCGGACCCTACGGGTTTGAGAACTATGTAGACATGACCGAGACATGTCTCCGGTCAATAACCAATAGCGGAACCTCGATGTTCATATTGGCTCCCACATATTCTATGAAGATCTTTATCGGTCAAACCGCATAATGATATATGTTGTTCCCTTTGTCATCGGTATGTTATTTGCCCGAGATTCGATCGTCGGTATCTCAATACCTAGTTCAATCTCGTTACCGGCAAGTCTCTTTACTCGTTCCGTAATGCTACATCTCGTAACTAACTCATTAGCTACATTTCTTGCGAGGCTTATATTGTTGTGCATTACCGAGAGGGCCCAGAGATACCTCTCCGACAATCGGAGTGACAAATCCTAATCTCGATCTATGCCAACTCAACAAACACCATCGGAGACACTTGTAGAGCACCTTTATAATCACCCAGTTACGTTGTGACTTTTGGTAGCACACAAAGTGTTCCTCCGGTATTCGAGAGTTGCATAATCTCATAGTCATAGGAACATGTATAAGTTATGAAGAAAGCAATAGCAATAAACCAAACGATCATAGTGCTAAGCTAACGGATGGGTCAAGTCAATCACATCATTCTCTAATGATGTGGAATGATGTGATCATGTTCATCAAATGACTACTCATGTCTATGGTTAGGAAACTTAACCATCTTTGATTAATGAGCTAGTCAAGTAGAGGCATACTAGTGACACTCTGTTTGTCTATGTATTCACACATGTACTAAGTTTCCGGTTAATACAATTCTAGCCTGAATAATAAACACTTATCATGATATAAGGAAATATAAATAACAACTTCATTATTGCCTCCAG